CGCGACAAGCCCAGGGCGCCCGGGGGGCGAAAGCCGACACCGATCCCCAGCGGGGCTGGGTGATGCTCACGCGACTGTCTGGAGCGGGGAGGAGGAGGAGGAGCAGTCGAACGGGAGCCCGGCTTTCATGACTGGGCAGCGCGCGGAGACCTGGATCAATCCAGAGCCCCACCGCGCAGCACAGCTGCAAGATAATTCAGGTGCACAGGACTGTGCATTTCTTTTACTGTTCTGCAAACGCCATTAACAGCTACAATGGCTCATCAGTGCCATTAAAAGGCCATTGCTGCAACACATAATGGATGTGGAACCAGTCTTATCATCACTACCTTAGACAGGCTGTGGTGACTAACAGCACAAGCGCAGACTGAGAGCCACATTAACGGGGAATGCAAACTGGAGGAGGGGGTTGATATATTCCAGATGCCTGCCGAGAAACCCTTCTACCCGTTCAGAGCCCCACCACTGCAATCAAGTACAAAACTCTCCCGCCCAATCATTTTTAATCACGAAATTTCTCTTTCGAGCACAATTTCGTATGCCCGTTACTGGGCCGGGGCACTCTTGGCCACCACCGCAGTGACCTCTACAACGTCCTCGCCAAATCCCTCCAAGAAGTCTAAATTGGGGATGGATCATAAAATGGAACCGGAAATGCTTCATCTCTGTCCTCTGGCGTGTGGGGACTGGTTCCGCAGCTCATGATGGGGGGCGGATGGGCGGGCGGGCTTTGCGTGTTCTTTTAAAAGCAAACGCGCTCTCCGGAGACGAGCGCGTCTGCCTTTACCGTCCCCTGGGGAAACGCAGAGAGGGATGCCATGGGTTCCAATGGAAATTCTCCTCTTCGGTTTTCCCTGCTTTTTCCCCAGGGAGGGGAGGAAAAAACAGATGCCCGGATATAATCCCCTCTGGGCTGCGGAGCAAAGAAAGGAGCCGACTGCGAAGGCCACCTTCTCAAGAGAGACCAGGAGAAAGGAGAGAGCACCACTCCTGGTCCTAAACACCGAGCAGCGAGTCTGATCCCCTAGAAGGAAACGAGTGACTTCCCTGTGAAGCAGGCCACGCTCCTTAAAACCCACCAGCGCCCCTGCGTCCGGCTGTGGCTGCTCCCCGCGCAGGGGGAACGGGCACCAGCGCTGGACACGGTCCAGGGTGCAAGATAAGACGCCCTCCAACCTCTTAAGCTGCATGTGGCTTTCAGACAGGCAGGGCTGCCAGCCACGGACACTGGCTTGGGCCTTGATTTAAGTCTGCAGTCGCAGGCAGACAAAGCCGAGAGGGAGCTCCTGAC